GTTTATTGGACAAACCCAAAACGAATGCAAATGCACAGTAAAGCTGACAAATATTTGACTAAACAGTGCATAATGAGAACTGAGAGCCAAAGTTGAATCGTTCATGACTCAGCCACCTCCAAACTTTTATTCAGTGGAGTGTATATTGTGTGAGAGAGAAGCACTTAGCAGCAGATATTTTTGTTTCTATTTAGGAATAGAACTATCGGCTATCAAGAATTATATCTTACTCTGCTAATCATAATAATAGTACCTCCAATGTCCAATATAAATGACCCAGATTGACATTCTCAGTCTATTGATCTTTCCTGAGATACAGCAAATGATCAACTTTTTTAAGTCTTTAAAGTGTGTGTGTATTTTTATGTTTCTCAATTTTTTATTAAGTTGGTAAATATACATTCACTAGCTAGGACCACACCAACGACATAGTGCGAAGAAGTTTATTGATAATGTACAAAGCTGGGCAGAGATGGCTGGGTTGAGACTCTAGGTGGGGGCTTCGCCTCAATCTTCAGTTGGCCCAGCTGTGACGGGACCCCCTGTATGGGTTTTATGACTGAAAGATGAACAAAATAGGGGATGGGAGGGTGGGGTTGAGTTAGCCAAGACAAACTGGAATGATGGGAAAGGCTGTTACATATAGGCTTCTGGGAAATTAGAGGCGTGGTTGAGGTGAGTTGTGGTTCGCTGGTGAGAGGAGAGGGCGGTTGAGGCGTGGTCCTGCTCCTGAATCTCAGTTAATCATATTAACTACATTTATAGTTTTACACCAATCAAGAAGTTATTTGAGACCAAAAATTGAAAAATATTGTAAATTACAGGAAGCAGTGTCCAAATATATTGATGACATCAAATTAGGGAAAATTCTATCTGAAAGTGAAGCACATTTTGCACACAAGAAAAAAAAAATTTGACATTTTAAACATGAATTCAACAAAATAAATTTTTCATATAATTTCTGTGTACATTAGAGAAATTTTGCTAGTTAACAGTTAGAAAGTGTAATGTCACGATTTCCAACCAAGGAGTAAAATTTTAAACCTAAAAATGGCCAAGTTTTGGAAAACAAGTGTAAATGTTTTTGCACAAATCTTAAAATTAGCAGGCACTTTTAGAACTGCAAAGATGGATGGATGTAAACATTGTAACATCAAAGCTCCCCTCCTCACTCCAGACTAGCATTAAGTCTATGTTATTAGTGTTTGATGAGAAATTGATCTGTCTTAAATAAAGATTAGCTGTGTCATTCAGCCGTAAACGCCAATAACGAATCTGTTTTGGCAGGGAGACATCAACAACAGCACAGGGGCCTGAGCCAAACAACAGCTGTACTCAAATTAGGCCCAGCTTTTTAACTCACAGCAGCGCTATTGGTTTGTTTAGACCTGGCAAACAAGAAATCATTTACACTCACGCACCTTTTAGATTTCAAAGTCAATCATCCTCTGCTATGTTGGCTGTCTGATTTGCAGCTCAAGCACTTTTATGTAGAATCAATAGCATGGATTTTCAGACTGCTTAACTTTCCTCATCTTGCTTCAGAGACTATAGAACAGCCAGTGGCTTAATTGTGACTGTACATTTAAATCATATCAAGGATTCCCTTATTAAGATGCAGTGGAGTTCCATACTGCCAAATGGTAATCAGAAGTGCATGAATGATTTTAATAGATATTTCTAAAACATTGCCTATTTGCTTCTCAAACAGTGATTAGGTATATTCTTATCGTGTTCTACTGATAACATTTGTAGAGTTGATAAATTCTTTTTTTTTTATTTGGTTCCCTAGCCAACATTGCCAGTTTGTCCAATTAGAAAGGGTGAGCATATTTGAAGGAAACCAGTTGTTGCTGCATATGTTGCATTTGCCCAAATATAAAAGCAGAGGAGTCAGAGATGCCTCGTTATTTGTTCCAGACTTCAATTTAACACAAGGAAATATTTCCTTTGAGGATCTTTGCCACGTTTTACTGTATCTCACATCCACTTTCTATCTCTCTAATAAGCCACTGAAGTAACCGTATGCCAAATCCCCTGGCGACCTGTATGCCTTTTTTACACAGTTTGTGTGGAAAAGAAAGCAAGAGAAAGTGCAATAGTAAAGGCCTTTGAATGCACAGACGAGTCTGATCCGCCCACATCTTTCGTAGATAAAAGTCGATGAGTCACTGACTGGGATGTTTTAATGATCTGATCTGCTGCACCTATTTTCCCCATCTTCCATCTATAATGGTTTGTATTCTGATTACTCACAACATGGTTTTCCCACAGGCCATCTGGCAGCTGCACAAACTCAAAGACTCCCATAATCGTACCATGGATTTGTTCCCCCATCTTCACAACAATATCATAATTCACAGTTGACAGGTTGGTAATGGGTATCCATCAAGCATCTTGGGGTTGCTCGTTTAGTGAGTCCTTGCACTTCATCAGTTATCTCCGCTGGTCCTGACACAGAGTAAAAGACCCAGTGGAGTTTGTTCTAGATGACAGAGTAAGTCCAGTGCAGTAAGTGTTTCTGAGCCTCTTGCCCTACTTATTCCAGGATGGGGATTCAAGACTGAGGTAGAGTCTAAGCAGTAAATTATTCATCTCTGCCTCCTCTGGGCACAGTGCAACTTCAACACACATGTAAAACTGCTGTGAACATGCAAGTGTGGGCCATGAGGGAGAGTCTTATACTCATACTGGGCAGTTCAAATCACTTATGACTTCTCCAGTGTTTCACGTGAGCATCATCTAGACGTTGCAAAACTGAACTAGAAATAACACACTTGTCAAGTGACATTTTAGCTGACCAGCAGCTACAAAGGACTGTGTGTTGCAGTGAGAGCTGTTATGGGAAGCTATTTTTGAAATATGCCAGGTCTGTAGAGTCCAGAGAATGTCTTAACTTATACACTCACAAAACTGCTACTTCAGAAATCTCATCATAACGCAGGTAAAGTGAAGCCACCAAGGTCCAGATAATATGAAAGTTTGTTTCCCTACTTAATTTTGAGGAACTTCTCTGTAACTACAAAATGAGAAGAATAACCCAGAACAATTACCTAGTGATGAAAGTAAATTATCATAATAAACGTTTTTGTTGGGGTATTTGTGTTTAAAAAATGGTTAGTAAGAGGCCATGTGGTTTTGCCTTGTGTATAGTATTGGATTTTTAAAGAGATTCCTGACACTGTTGTTGGGTTAAAAGATGCTATTTATACACATAGCATTATGACACCAATGACTTGGTGCTTTCAAGTTCCTTTAATTTTTCACCCGAGATGCAGAAGACAGAACTTGGAGTGGCAGTACACAAAAGAGAAATTAGTGAAGTCCTTGAGGCAAAGGATTATTTTTGAGCTTCCTGTTCTTCTAATGCGTCATAATGAATATGCCGCCATATAATTTGCATTCTGAAAACATATTGAATCATTGTTAACTGGACCATTCTATTTTCAATATGCATTTCTTTGCTTGGTGCACAAATACATAACTTTTTATTTGCCTTTGTTTTGATTTCTTTATCTTAGTCCTTTATGGTCTGATGCTTCCAAATTGTGTGTGTGTGTCTGTCACTGTTAAAATAAATGCAATCAAAATTGAATATGAATTTGAATTGAAATTATATTGTGATCTCATTCTTGACTATCTTTTGGAGACATTGTCAAATCATGATCAAGTACTTGAGTCCTCAAACCTACTCCTCCCATTGGCCAGCCTTAAGGTTCTGAATGAGTGACAGATCCACACTGCAGTTTTTTGTTTTTTTATTAGTTTTTTTTTTCATTTTAATAGCACAACAACATCCTCCAAAGGTGTTAATCTGTTTTGTTTTGGGGTGTTTTTTCTACAACCTTTGGAACCAGAATGCAGACAAACTTTTATTGGAAGTGCTTGTCTCTATTTACTGACACATGGATTTAACCAATCACAGAGAAATGTGAACTCATCGGAGGAGCAGTTGACCTCAGTTATCTCTTAAAGGCAATGTAAAGATTGTAACAAATCTGGCTCCAAGAAAATCCTTATATGATTTTGTCTTATATGAATACAGTGTCTGTGGCTGTTTACGTTCAGAGTAAATGATAAAAAGCTGGATCCTTCTGTCCCTATGCAACCTTTAATGGTTCCAGGCAGTGATTTGGATGGAAACCAAGATTTGTTTTATCTCATTCACTGGCCATTTGAGTTTTAACGATTCTGGAGGGGAAACTAACAAAAACAAGGGATTAATGTAGCCTCTTTTTACACCATTGGTTTTACTCATCTCAGTTTCTCAGCTAAGTTTTTATGGTTCAACTTCAGGCTACTGGTAAGGCATAATAGAGCTCCACTTCAGCTCTAAGGTGTAATAGAGGTACGCTCCAGCTCTAAGGTGTAATAGAGCTGGATTGGAACCAAGAGTCGGCTACAATCAGTTCCTCGTTTGCAACAAAACCGTTTCTTCTCGCCCGTGTGGGAAGAACTGGAAATAGGGATAATTAGCACAGTGCACATTCATGTTAAGAGAGTAGCGCGCTAATGAAGTCTTCACGCGTGGTCCCCAGATAAAAGCGAGAATTAACTGGTGCCATTATAATTTAATTCAACAGAAAACATTACAATTAGTGTTTGTGGGCTCAACAGTCGTTTCCATAGCCCTATCGCTCCAATTACGCCCTATCTCCGAAGAAGAATAAGCGCCTCTCCCCCAGAGGGACCATGGGGCGGCTGCAGGATTTCGGTGAAGGGCCTGTGGATATTGGGACGTGGGAGTGGTACTGATGTGCTGCTGATGCCTGAATGTGTGTGACGTTTAAACTGCAGCTATTACCAAAGTGTACGTGAGGAGAGACCAGCCAAGACGCACTCCATACAGCAGATTTGGGGAGGGAGTGCGCGTGGAGGCAGCAGCCTGCAAGGGGGTGGGGGGAACGATAGGACAAGAGAGAAAGAAAGATCCCGAGCAGAGTTGGTTGGACGCTTGGGGGACAGTAGAGCTCTAAAACATCAGGGGAAAAGAAGGGGATCCCGTACCAGTGGTCTAGAGGCGAATGCACCAAACCGGCTTTAGGGATGTAGTCGACGCGGTTTCGAGCTCAGCCCACCCGAGCTCATCACCATGAAGAAGCACTCCGCAAGGGTCGCCCCGCTGTCCGCCTGCAACAGTCCGGTGCTCACCCTCACCAAAGTGGAAGGTAGGGGCTCTTCACATCGATTTCTGCATCATCGCCAAACGTTTCTATAATTCACTGCGATTCTTTGCGGATAGAATTTAGACATCAATCCAATTTTAGTCAATTCAGACATGGAGCAACTTTTCTCACAACACCTCAAGTCCCCTCGGCTGATCAATTTGGCGCATAACTTCACTTAAAATGCTGGCAGCCTGGCACTAAAAATACTGCATTGACTCTTCTCCATTTTTGCATTTTAATTATGTCGTGTTCAGCTAACTTATAAACGAACAAGTCCACATACGGCTGTCCTGACGCATTGATTTTAGAAGCACAGTCTCATCTTGGCGCTACATTTTTAGTTCCTTTGGGAGTATCTGAACTTGTTTTTGCTGCAGGGATTCCCTCACACCCTCCCATAGCAGTCCACTAGAAGCAACTACAACATCTGGTACATGAACCTAACATATTAACAGTGCTTTTTATACAGACTCAACCTCTGATTGATCTTCACTCCGCTCCAGTGCTTTTATGATAGTTCACGGTTCTATTTCATGTCCAAGGATGCAATTAGGGATTCTGACATTCCCTGACACGCAATAAACGCGGGCCAATTGTTTTTTTGACTCCATCCAATGACCTGATGTCCTGCACGTGGCATTCGTATCAGTCATGTTCAGGGTCTCACTCAAGGTGTCACTTCCCCTGCTCGTTCTTCCTGCCTACTGTGCCTGGATGGATATTCTACTTATGTAATCCTTTGTTTCAGACCAAGGACGCTCAAAGAAGGGGTAATTTCTGTAAATTGAATCTGGCAAAAGATTAAAATTAAATGAAAATGACTGTAAGAAAACATATTCTGCCTTAATAAACAAAATATTTTAAACTAGACTATAGGAATAATAATCTGCTGCAAGTTAAACAGAAAATTGCAGTTGAACTAAGTTTAAATGGAGAAATTGGTCAATAGACTAAGAAGCTTGATGTCTTATTTACCTAAGTTGCTGGGTTTCAGAAGATCTCACAGCATTGTATTTGCCAATAATATTTAATACAGAGCACACACAGCTACAATAAATATTTATAATGTAGATTTTTTATGTAATTCAGTAAGTTCTAGGGTTTAGTAGTCAGTTATAGGCATGTCTAGATACAAGATTTGTTCATTTACCTTTTGGATAATAAGTACAAATCAGTCTCTTTTCTCTTTTTTGACCTCTATCTGGTAATATGTCATCATCACATTCTAAAATCTGAAAACCAGCAATTGAGCATTGAGTATTAATTGATTATTCCTCATATTGAAAAGATATACAACAATGTAGCAAATGATGTGCATCTTTGGATAATGGATAGGCTTTCATTGTAGATTTCAGTTGTCGTACTTGACTGATTCACACATTGGCACGACAAGCATAAAAAGCTCTGACATGAGACCGGGGATAGAGCGGGCAGTGTAAATCTGTGGCTCATAGTATTGTAAATTGTCTGCCTCCCGTCGACTTCAGGCTCCCTTTTTCAGAAGCTGCTTTGAAGGAATCACAGGGGGGCACGGAGGATCAACACGACAGAGTTTTTCTCAGACATTTCTGCTTATGTAACTGCTGCTCAAAGTCTCTGTTCTCTGCACTAACAAGTTGCAAAAAATCGCCTTTTCTGTGTGCCCATGTAGTGACTCAGAGTAACAGAATAAAAGCTTGCAGTGATGTAATGTTTCTGGGCTCATTAAAACATTTTTTTGTCTCAAAATTGGCAAAGTTACTGTGTTGGTCATATTAGACTTAGAGGTAACTACAACATCAGTAGCCCCGGAGTTATAGTGGTCATCCATGCATTTTAAGAGAGCTCAGCAAATAGTTAATGAAGGAATTATTTCTGCATAGTGAAGACATCGTTGAACATCTGGATGCATTAGCTTATACATTTGAAAGTCAAAATCTTAAAGGTGCTTTGTGTAACGTTTCTGGTGGTGGATCCAACAGATCCTTTTCTCCATGTTACTTCTTTTTCTAGAATGTTTCACAGTGTGGTATTAAAGTTTTCTATCTTCATGGAGACCAAACTAGACCAAGTTATAGGTCAGATCTGCGGAGAGGCAACCGTGCTCACAGTCAGAATGTCTTTTTTTTTTTTTTTTTTTTTTTTAGGTATTTTTGAGATATAAAACCACCTGTAATTGAATAAATGTAAGGTAGAGCTGTTTAATGTCATACTGTGGAACATTCCAGGCAAAGGGATAATATATCCATAGAAACAGGTGACAGACCCTCCACTAGAACAGTTACACAATGCACCTTTAATTGACACAAAGAACTTATTGCTTTGAATATTTTTACACATATAAAACTAACATTGAACCACAATGTTTCAAACATTTACCAGTGAGCAAGAGGACCCCTTCAGTCAGTATCTGGGCACTTTATCATTGTGAGATAGGATCAAAGCTTCTAGTTCTTCTTGAGTATCTGCTGCCTTAACTTGTATCCAGTAGTTACAGCGTTATTCTGTGGTTAATCCACACAGGCAGTGGTCCATGTCTGATGACCATTGATTTCTCTACAATGTCTTCAATGGTGATCTCATGGGGAGATTTGGTTCATTTGTGTGCTGAGTTCATAGTAGTGATTTGACCCCATTTTATGCTTTGGTTTGTGGAGTGGTACTGTTTGTAGTAAATGACTCAGCAGTTCACCAATATTCCCCAAAGAAGAGGGTCATTTTTCACCCGTTGCTGTCATGCTCTTGTTTCACAGTGGGCTTCACGCTCCTTGAACACAGATAGCTTGCAATGAATGACAAATCTATTACTACACAAAAACTTGGACATAATAGAAAAACTGTTCTGTGCTTCTGCAAAACTTTCAGGGGAAGACATTATAAACCCTATAGCCATACTCTAAAAATACACAGATTCTTAAAGAATATAGTCATTTCAAGAATAAATGCTTCATATCTACACAAGGAGAGGTACTAAAGATGTATTTTTTCTGGTGGAGGATCCACTACCTGCTTGTCACCATGGAGCTGTTACAGTGTTGCCTATAAAGTTTCACAATATGGCATTATACTTGTCTTAAATTCAATGATTTCACTGAATATTAAGTTAAAGATGCTACACTGTGGAACATTCAAGGAGACAAGATGGTGGATATGCCAACAGAAAAGTTACACATTGCATCTTCAATTAAAAATATATATTTTGAAAAATAAATAATGTTTTGTTGTAATATGTTTGACTAGGTTGTATAGCTCTAAACACATATTAAAACATTTTTGTACATTTTTATACATTTGTTTAAGCTCCTTAACCTTTTGGTTCCACACACTTTACCTGTCAGCATAACACATTAAAATGTAATATATTGTTGAAGTAAATGTAGACTATAAACCATAAGAATGAAATTAATTTATGTCACTAACACAGTACCCCAAGAGCATATTTAAGCCACAAAAATGCCATGACCTTAAAGTACAATATTGTTTAAAAAAAAAAAGCTGCACTAAACAAATAACAGAATGAAACACACTAGAAGTTATTCATTTGACCTTTTAAAGCTTAAATCTTACAGCCAAAAAATAACCAAAGATTTCCCAGTAGTGCAAAGAAAAAGTACAGACGATAAATGCTGACCCCAAAAATATATTGTTCCAGCATTCAGATATTGAACAATAGGTCGATATAGTAATTATTGTGACAGGCCTACCACGGACTATTTTTATGAAGGATCCAGTCACATTTGAACTATCTCTCACCATGGTCAAATTGAAGTTGATTTAGAGGGGAGTGGACAGGAGCGAAAGTGTGGTTAGTCCAATTGCTCTAAAAGCAGGTGTAATGAGTGCGCTGCTTGATAGGTGTGTCCTGAATACAAAATGACAGGGCTGTTATTTTATTAAGAGTGGGTGGAGTGTGTCTATGTGCGTGAGAGGAGAAGGCTATCACTTAAAGTTCAAGTGAATCCGATTATGTCCTGGTCTGATGTGAGCTAAAGACCTTTAAAAAGCAATTCATTATGCAAGATTAGGACGCTGATATGACTGATTTGGCTGAAATGAAATAGTTTATGTAGATACTGCACAATGCTTCTCCTCATACGAGTGATGCAGACTTTAAATTTTAGGCATTCCTTGTATATAGTATTTAGGCTAATCATTTTAACAGTGCACTATGTAACTATTCTTCATCATGGAGATGTTATTGCTTTGCCTGAGATGTTACGCAAAATGGCATTAAACAAATATATCTTGCATTTATTAGATTTCTGCTGTTTTTATTGCTTAAAGAGCCGATATTACACTGCTTTCTGCTCTATGTTATATGTTGTTTCCTCATCACAAACATTCCCAGAGTTGTGTTTTGTTTCATTCACACATGTTTAACACACACCCTGCATAAATAGCCCAAGTTCTTCTCTCAAACAGAAAACACTCTGTTCCACCTTGCGATGTCATGTAGTAATACAGGAAGTGCTCCACTGTGTTTTTAAACTACATACACCTTCACTAAAATCATTTAGATGATTTCAGCCCTGGTAGGTAGCTGTTAACTTGAAAACTACCGCTTCATGTCATCACAAAGTGAAATAGAGCATTTTAATCTTTAAGGAAGTAGACAGACTAATAATGTGTTACTTGAACATGTGTAAATGAAAAAAACACAACTCCAGTTACATTTTTGATGAGGTAACACTATTATAATATGGCTTAAAGCTCACAAGAATCCATTTTATGTAATATAGGACCTTTATAGCTCTGTGAAGACAAGACACCTCACTTGAAAAGTAACAGTACATATTTCGATGTATTTTTATTTGAGAAAACATAAAAACATTATTACCTAGTATGAACTAAAATCCTGACTAAGCCAGATCTCTGTCAGAGCTCTGATCACATTTAAATGTCTGGATGGGGTCGTAGCGTGATGGCAATATACTATCTATTTTTTCTGATATTGCTATAGATTTGCTTTATACACAATCCAATATTACATGCATCATTTGACTTTTAATGACTTATATAAT